TTTTTTTGTAAGGTATCAAATTTCTCTTAAAACAATAAATTTTTTTTTATGCTGACGACACGCGTTATATTAATTTTTGCATACATGTTTAGAAAATTAAATTTTAAAAATTAGATAAACTGGATATGGTGTACCAAACGACCCCTAATTCATCCCATCATAATTATTTTTTTTCTCTCTCACTCACGGTTTTTCCTCAACAAATGCATTCCCATTTATATTTTTTTTATTCCTTAAGTTGACTATTCATTTTTCTCCACTAAGCATACCATTTAAATCATTCACTAAATGCCATAACCTCCTAATCACTTAATGCCATTATGGTAATTATAAAACAAAACTTCCATTCATATGAAAGGGTGCCTAAACGTTTTTTTTTTAAACCCATAAACCACCATGTATACACCTAATTAATATTCAACTACCATTGTTTTAAATTCCATTTTGGTTACTACCAATTACCATCATCATTTTTGCAATTGAAAAACAATAATCTCCTATATCCTCTAAGGCTACATTTCCTTCCCCAAACTATTTTACCCACACATAAATTTTTCTACTTTTCTTCCCATAGACTAACGCACTTTGAATCTAAAAAAAATTCTAAAGAAGAAGTGAAGAGAAAGCTGTATTTTATTGAGCACAAGAGGATATTCAAACTCCAAGTGTTTAAGGTATGGATGTTTACGATACTTTTGTATGTAGAGTAAAATTATTTGTTTTCGATTTGTATTAGAGCGTTATTGTGTTACTCATGAGAGAATGGAAGCACCCTATGAATGGTTCAAATAAGAGATGAAGAGATGAATTTTGATTCATGAAAAGGGGTTGTTAAAACCTAAGAGTTTGTGGATGCTTGATCGGTGGTTCGCTTTGAAATTGACGGTGACACAAATAACCAAAGTTTACAATTCTAGAAAACATATTTATTTTATCTATTTACTTAAGTGTTTCCTAGTGAGTATTACTTGCGATACTCACTCCTACAAAATTTACAGATTAATTGAAGGCATGGCAAGGATTTGGCATGGTGGCAAGTGCTCGGTGATTTGAAATGCTTTGAACTTTTAGTAAAATTTTTATTCGTGTAAATCTCTTATGAATTCTTAGATGGTACTTTTAAAATGTTTAATTTTCTATTTTTGCCTAGTTTTACATATATTTCTTGTCAACTATAACTTAGAAACGTTGGAATGACTACGCATGAAAGTTAATTATTGGTGGATTGAATTTCAGATTCTATCCTTCTATTTGAAAGTCGTAAAACTTGGGCTACAGTACAAGTTTTAGAGTAAAATCAGTGGGATTTCAAAGGTCTACGAGTCTTCTAATAGTCATCTTTGAAGAAATTACCCTAAAATATTATCTAGAAAAAAAGTTATGTCTATTTTGGTAGACTCCGTCGAGTCAGTTCCAAATTTTCTATCCAGCATAGTCGAACCTTATTTTCATGTTTCAAACATTATCATCAAGACCCCAATTTTTTTATATGATGTACGTATATGAATGTTATAATCCCTGTTAAAATGTCAACGTTTGCTAAGTCAACCATATTTTTCTCTTTCCGCTGCTGTATAATGGTATTTGCTGAAATTTCTCCAATGTTTTTCAAAAATCAAATTACACCATAATTTTCTTAAGTTTATATGGACATATATCTCCCATTATAATTTTTGTACGTTTCAAACTCCAAATTTTTTCTTATTTACAATTTATTTTGGTTAACATTAAAGAGATCAAACAAAAAAGATTTTTTTTTTTAATGCTCCGAGTTTCGAGAATTTGGGGCGTTACAACTTGGTATCAGAGCATGGTTTATTTTCTATAGACTTACATTAAAAATCATACCTTAGTGTATATTGTCATATACAAAGGTGATAAAAAAAAAATTGACAAGGATCCTAAGCACTGTGCCTGCAACCGCGCCATGCCGATTTTGAGGTAAAGAAAGTTTTATAAATATGCTTGTATCTATGTGATGAGAATGAGAAAGTTTGTTCTAGATACAACATTTGAAATGTATGTATGAATATTAGTATATGTTGGAGTTTGAATACTTTTTGTAGATAATCATTATCGTACCAAGTATTTTAAGAATGTGACCAAATTCAATGTTTATTAAAGTCCTCGAAAATTAACTAAAACTTATTAGACACACATTAATTGAACTTCGAATAATTGGTATGACACAGATTGTACGGATTAAGAAACCTTGTAGGAAGACGAGTTCATTAATGCCTCGTCAATATGAGATCGTGAGGCAATATGAAGACTATCGGTGAAATCCAACACACAATATGGGCCAACGCATTTGGGAGATGTTAGTAAGGTGGAGGGAGGTGAGGCGACTTGGCCATATCGTCACTGGTATTTCAATATTTTCTCTTTCTCCTTGCTTTCCTCAGTATCCTCTCTGAATTTTCTTGGGCAGCCTCCATTGAATAATTTCCTACATCTTCCCAACAAAGAGTGGTAATGAGAACCACCACAAAAGGCAAAAGAAAAAAAATATATAGGACATCTGCACATCAAAAAGCTCAAGTAAACTTGGTCTGGTTGAGCAACAATTGTATTGTTTAGTTATCAAATCACTATTGCAAATACGAGACATCTAAATCATGTAAGCAAGGAATTTTTTTCATTTGACCAGAAAAAGAAAATAAAGGTCCCATTATCCCCTTATCAGGCCATGGCATCAGCACTATATAACCATAACAATCTTCAGTGAAGAAATTACATATGTATATCCTTATGTTATTTGGTTCTCATAAGCATGTATATACATAGAGGTGTCAAGATGGATGGGCCGGCCAGACCCGTGAAAATTGGCCCGGATCTACCGGAGACCGCGGGCCGACCTGTGACCCGAGCGGGTGGTTCACGGGTTAAAGAGGTATGACCCGCGAGCTTCGTATGTTGCACCTTCACGGGCAGCGATTAACCCGTTGGCTCGTGAAAAAAAAAATTTTAATTTGAAAAAAAAGGGAGGAGAGAGCCAACCTAATTGGGATGTACTTAAACTATAAATTATAATAAAAGTATGTGTCAACCTAGTTTGGATGTACTTATACTATAAATATTTGATGATAATAATTAGAAATGCATTTAGTATTATTTGTTTAAACTAAATTTAACTTTGCGAAGTTATAAATAATTCATGTGATATTAAATTTGAATTCTATGTAAACATTTATTGGTATAAATATGAATTTATTATTTTGTTCAATTCTTAGTTTACATTTTACAAAAAAAATATTTTTTGCTATAAATATGAAAAATTCTATATTTTTATAATTTTATTTATATAATAATACGGGCCAAATCGGAACAAATCGAGACCTGCGCGACTCATAACCCGAATGGACTCGACCCGAATGGGTCAGCGGGCGGGCCTGGGTTGTAATCCAAAATTTATGGGCCGACCCAGAACCCGTAGCGGGTGGGTTTTTTTCACGCGGACAGTTACCGGGCTCATATGTTGGCGGGCCGACCCGATCCAGACCACCCGGATTAACACCTCTATATATACATGTATAAAATTTTAGATATGTAACTGAAAATTTGGAATTGATCAATTCTGGTCACTAATCCTAAAATGTATTTTTAATAAAGATTTTCCTAGTAAAAGTTTTCTGAAATCACACATGTTATCCGTTTACCTTTCTGAGAACACCTATTAATTGAATCCAGAAACGGATATATTCCGACAACCAAAATGTTGTTCTGAATGTAATATATGGTTAAATATAGGTGTCCAAAACTGCAATTAACACAAAGAACATCTCAAATCAGTACCAGCAAAGAACCATACCGAAGTTACATGTTCCCCTGTCTTCAAGTAAGCAGGAAAAACCTCCATCAATTTCCTCATCTGATTCAATGACGCCTCTGCATTCCTGAATCTGCATAAATATCCATTCAATATTACCTAGGAAAGGGATTTCTTGTCGATCATAAAGATTTAAATTTTACAGTCATGCATATATAGAAGATTATTTACATCGACACCCAAGCAACTAGTCACTTCATGTTATAACTAGAGCATGTTAAGGATGATAGCACAAATCAAGCACCAATCAACAAAGCTGATTCTTAGCCTGCATGTGTAAATCAAGGCTGCACTAATCAAGCTCCAGTCAAGACAAATTATTCCTATGCTAAAATCATGGCAGCACCCTCACGTGTAATCTGCTCCAGTCAACACATATTACTAAAATCAAGGCTGCTGCTTTCTGTAAACATTATAAAATTGTAGCCATATTGATAGCATCGTTACTAGAAATGTATTCTTAAGGATGTGTATATATAGTTGTATAATTCTATAAATAGATATGTGGAAAATTATCACTGAATTGAGTAGATTGAAAATCTTACAGTTCTATCAGAGCATATCTTATTTTTTGCTGGATTTCTATTTCATGTTACACATGCTTGTAGGTATATATTGAGGAAAAGAACAGAGGGCCAATAAAAGCTACCAGTTGAGTGGGCGACACTTTTATCTTGTTACACCTCTTATTGAGACTTCTACATTCCGAAGTTGGTTGTTTGTGTTTTACTGATGTCCATCCTCCCATTTCAATCTTTGGTGACAAAGTTGCTTGCAGTGCTTTTGAATGCGTTGTCGCACTAGAGCAAGAAATACATTCTAGTTACTAAGACAAACCTTGGCAAAAAGAACTCAAAGCATGTAGCCCAAAGCGTAATAGATCATTCTTATTTTGACAGTAAACATTCCATAATAAAAATAGAAAGCTGTTGGGAAAGCCTGTTGGAGGGATGGGAACATTTCATGAATTAATTCAATTCATACATACATAAGCTAACAGGTTCTTGATTACCTATGATTTAAAAAATCTAGATGTGTAGGAACATCCCACAAAAAGAAGTGTTATGTAACCATTCAGAAAGGAAAGAAAAAGGGTAAAAATTTGGTGCAGGAACCAGAGTTTTATGATAAGGAAAATAAGACTTTCAATTCTTCTGGATAAAAGTAAAATGCACAACAGTCCTTGAAGCTTGCGGAAATGGCAATGACACAACAGTCCTCAGATTTGTGGTTTTGCACTGCTTAAAATTCTTCAAAGTCGAGAATGTTTGCATGTATATAGTTATCTAAAAGCCATCTATTACAATTCTAATGGTAATTTTAATTTTAGAAAAAAAAAAAAGAACAACTTATTTCATAAAGTTCCTGTGAAAGAACCACATATATCAAATACTGAAGAGGTTTAGAACATGGAGCTCTGGAACATAACGCATCTAACAGGGCTCATTGCACTGTGAAGATGTAGAATGCACAACTTAAATTCTTGAGAACATACCTCTTACCTTCGACGTGAAGGTCTCTCCCCGCACAACAGCTTACACCCTACAAATTTAGTAAATAAGAAAAGGTTCTGGTAACATTCTTCAAGATACCTAAAACACTTATAATGCCTGTAATTCTCACTCTCATGGGTAGAAGAAGTACTTTGGGTGCATAGATTGGAGAAGTTGCTTGTTTTTTTGTACAAATCTTCATGCTGCAAGCCATTGCCTACAAGGAGTTGAACTGTTGAAGTACAAATAATCAAGAAAACCTGCTGGCACAAATAGCTGTCTCGATACAAATCTCTCAGATGTCCACTAAAGATCGTACAAACAGGTCCTTCAGAATTCTCAACTGCAAGCTACATCCAATTAAATAATTTACATGCCTGTAATTCACTTTGTAGTTTCATGATCTGAGTGTCAAATTTCTCTGATAAAGCTGAAATCATTGAGAAGATCTCCTTAACATTCTCTTGATTTGTATTCTTCTTGACTTGATCAGACAGATATTTAAAGCCGCCATCAACACCAGCTTTGATATCTTCTTGTCCTTTATTCTGGTTACCATATACAGTGTTAAATCAGAAAACATCTTTTGACATCAACACAGTTATACCAAGAGAGGATATCTGATAATTTGCAGAGAACTAAAATGGATGAAATGAAAGGCGGGAGAAGATTCAATTGATTAAACAAATTCAATTTACAAAATGATACCAGCAATGGCCTACTTATACACAAGATGAAGAAGAAGCTCACGCCTAAAGGATGAAGAGGGAAAAACATAATGACATAAATAACCTTCATCTAAATGGGCTAATCTAAAATGGGCTTGGCAAGACTATAATTGGCTTAACACTCCCCCTCAAGATGAGAAGTATATATTCAATACTCCCATCTTGTGTAATAACAATTTAAATCTAGTTCCACCAATTGCCTTTGTCAGGAGATCAACAATTTGATTCTGAGAAGAGGTAAACAACATTTTCACTTCACCTGCCTGAACTTTGTCTCTAACCAAATGACAATCAATCTCTATATATTCTTCGTTCTTTCATGGAAGACGGGATTGCTTGATATATGGATTGCTGACTGGTTATCACAAAATAGCAAGGCTGTCTTCGACTGCTTTACTCCTAAGTCAATCAACAGATTTTTCAACCAACTCAACTCACAAACAGCAACTGCCATTGACCTGTACTCTGCTTCAGCAAAGGATCTTGATGCCGTATGTTGCTTTTTGGATTTCCATGATATTAATGAGTTCTCCAAGAAGATACAATAGCCCGTAATGGATCGCCTAGTGTCGGAACATGCAGCCCAGTCTACATCACAGTAACCTTTGAGTTGAAGATCAGGTTTACTTTCAAAAAATAAACCTTATCTTGGTGATCCTTTCAAGTATCTCAAAACGTGATGTGCAGCCTCTATGTGAGGCTGCTTTGGTGATTGCAAGAACTGGCTCAGCAATTGCACAGCATAAGAAAGATCAGGCTGTATTATGGTTAGATAGAGTAGCCTTCCTACTAGTCTTCTACATTCACTGGCATCTGAGACATTATTTCCTTCATCTTTATTCAGCTTCAGATTATGTGGAAGAGGAATGGTTGCTGGTTTGGCACCCAAATAACCAGTATCAGATAGAATATCTAGAGCATATTTTCTCTGGCAAACCGAAATGCCTTCTGTTCTTCTAGCAATTTCAAGGCCAAGAAAATACTTAAGAATCCCCAAGTCCCTCAACTTAAACCTTTTATTTAAATCCTTCTTGAATTGATCGATATAGGATAAGTCATTTCTACCTATTATGATATCATTTACATAGACTAATATCACAATAAAGGAGCAGCCATTTCGTTTGCTAAACATAGAATAATCTGCCTTTGATTGCTGAAATCCTTATGACAGGATATAGGAGGTCAGCTTAGTGTTCCACTGTCTAGAGGCTTGTTTAAGCCCATATATTGATTTATTTAACTTGCAAACAAGGCGTTCACCACACTCCCCCTGCTGCTCATACCCTGGAGGCATTGTCATGTAGACCTCTTCATGTAATTCACCGTGTAAAAAGGCATTACTGATGTCCAGCTGATGCAACACCCATTGTAACTGAGCAGCAACAGCTAACAAAGTTTTGACTGTGACCAATTTTGCTACTGGAGAGAAAGTCTCCTCATAGTCTAAGCCTGACTGCTGGGTAAAACCTTTGGCAACGAGACGAGCTTTCTTTCTTTCCTCAGTGCCATCTGAATGGAGCTTAACCTTATATATCCATTTACAGGCCACGGGTTTTTTATCTGCAGGAAGCTTAACAACATCCCAGGTCTGATTTGAAACAAGAGCCTTATATTCCAGATCCATAGCAATACACCAATCAGGATACTTGGATGCCTCCTCAAAGGTGTGAGGCTCAAACACAGTGGATAGAGCCAAAGCATAATTTCTGTGAGCTGAAGACAGCTTAGTATAAGCAAGATGATCTGATAGTGGATATTTCTTACCTGATGTAGGACCTTTGCCCATAGAGTTTGATGGAGAAGTAGGTGCTATGGAGGATAGATTACAGTGGTAATCCAAGAGATAGGAAGGTGGTTTAATAGTTCTTTTCGATTTTCGAACAGGGATCAAAGAAGAAGGAGAAGGAGAATGAGAATTCTGATGTAAGGATGGAAGTTGAGGTGAGGCTAGACTCTGAGATGTAGATGGAATCTGAGATGGAGGAGTGGCATTGTCAGAAGGGGACATTGATACAACAACAGAAACCTTGGTAGAAAGAGAATTAGGAATATCAGGAAGGACAGAAGACTGAGGTGAGAATAAGTATTGATCAAAGGAAGAAGAACTTGAAGAACTGAGTAAAGAATTTAAGAAAGAAAGATGTTGGAATGGAAAGATGTTTTCATGGAAAATAACATCCCTGGAATGGAAAACTGTATTGGTGAGAAGGTTATATAACGTATAAGCCTTCATACCATAAGGGTAGCCAATAAAGATGCAAGGTGCTGCTCTAGGATCAAACTTGGATCTGTTTCTTCGCAAAGTAGCAGCATAGCACAAGCAACCAAACACTCTGAGGTGGGAAAGGGAAGGTGCTGAGTAATAGAGTGTTTCATATGGTGACTTATCATCAAGGACAGAGGAAGGGGTTCTATTTAAAAGATGTATGGCAGTCAGAATGCAGTTTCCCCAGAATTTATGTGGCAAATTTGCCTGAAATTTAATTGCTCTAGCGATGTTTAGGATATGTTGATGTTTCCGTTCAACAATCCCGTTCTGCTGAGGAGTTTCTACACAACTAACTTGATGTAAGATTCCTTTAGAATGATAGAAATCTGTCATTATAAACTCAGCACCATTATCAGACCTTAGTGTTTTTATGTTGGCTTGAAAGTGAGTCTGAATTAATGAATAAAAATTGCGAATAAGAGGTCTAGTGTGAGACTTGGTCTTCATCAGATAAGTCCAGATGACTCTACTATAATCGTCAACGATGGTGAGAAAGTAATGAGATCCATCAAGAGAAGGTTTGGAGTAAGGGCCCCAAATGTCGCAATGAATTATGTCAAATGCCTTAGAAGCTCTCGATTCACTGATGGGAAAAGGAAGTTTATGTTGCTTCGCCAGATGGCAGATTGAACAATGCATATGTTTATTAAAGGTGATGTTAGAAGTGTATTTATGAAAGGTGGATAGCTTTGAAACAGGCACATGACCCAAACGGCAGTGCCATATATCGATATTACTTGTAACATGACTGATATTTTGAACATTACAAGAAGTAGCAACAACTTTATTACATTGGAAATCAGAAATAGGACTGCAACAAGATATAACAGGTGTATCGAGATCATCAGAATGTGTAACAGAATGTGTACTGAATTGATGAGGTTTGGTAAGTGAGTTGTTTTTGGACTTGAAATATAACTGATGATCAGGAGTTTGGAAAAGATATAATCCATCCTCAAGCTTGCCTACCCCAATCATCCTCCATGTTAAAAGATCATGCACAAAACAAGCATTATGCACAAAAATGAGAAAACAATTATGCTTAAGGACCAAATTGCTAACGGATATCAGATTGAAATTAAAGGATGGCACCACTAAGACATTAGTTAAGATCAAATCATCTGATAACTTCACAGTTCCAACTTTAGTCACAGCAGCACGATGTCCATTTGGCAACTTAACAAAAGCTGTGGAATCTGCTGTAATGGAGGTAAGATAATTACTAGAGCAAACCATATGTTCAGATGCTCCTGTGTCAATTATCCATTTGATTCCAGCAGCTTTCACATTATGACAGAACTGGTTACCTGAAAAGCAGAGGTTCCAGGAATAGATGATGGACTTAGTGAAATGTCTGGTGATTGTGAATTTCCAGTAGACAAACGTGCTTGCAATTGAGGAACAAGCATAACTATGAGTTGTTGACATTGGTCAGGGGTGAAAGGATCCTTTGACTGTGAAGAGAATGTCTCAGACTTTCTGTCGATAGGACCATGAGCCACTGCACTTGCAATAGGCAATCTACCTCTTGCATACTTATGACTTGGAGGATATCCTACAAGCTTGTAGCATTTTCCCCTAATGTGTCCTACCAAACCACAATAACTGCACATAGGTTGATCTCGCCTCTGAGGTATTCTGTAAGAGGTATACCTCTGATTACACTTGGCCTGTTTATAACTTTTCCAGCACAAGCACCTGCCTCGAAATTTTGCTGCCTTTTTGCAGCAACCTCCTTCTGTTTTTCATCTTGTAAAATCAATGCAAATACCTTACTTAATGAAGGTAATGGATCCATCAATAAGACTTGGCTCCTAACAGCAGAAAATTGATCATCAAGCCCCATTAAAAATTGCATAACCTGATTCTCATGTTTATACCCAGTGCTGTTGGTATCAGGTCTATAGTTATCCAAATACTCCCAAAGTCCTTTGAATCTATTGAAATAGGAGCTGGTAGAGACATTCTCCTGAGAGATAGATGCAATCTGCTTCTTCAAATNTCCTAACAGCAGAAAATTGATCATCAAGCCCCATTAAAAATTGCATAACCTGATTCTCATGTTTATACCCAGTGCTGTTGGTATCAGGTCTATAGTTATCCAATTCCTCCCAAAGTCCTTTGAATCTATTGAAATAGGAGCTGGTAGAGCCATTCTCCTGTGAGATAGATGCAATCTGCTTCTTCAAATCATATACTCAAGTACTATTACTTTGACTGTACCTATCAAGAAGCTCATTCCATACTTCTCTGGTGGAATCCTTGTGCATCACACTAGGATAGAGTTCCTTAGGGATTGAATTGATAATCCAGGAGGATACCACATGGTTACATCTGCGCCAAACACTAAACAACGGATCGTCTCTATTAGGCCTCTCAATTGATCCATCAATGAATCCTTCTTTGTTTTTAACACTAAGAGCCATGATAACAGCTCGACTCCAGGTAGGATAGTTGTCTTCAGTGAGAACAACCGAAATAAGTTGCATTCCTGTATTATCTCCATAATGAAGGTAAAAAGGTCCTGCTGGATCAGAAATCAATTTACTAAGAATGGAATTATTATCTTCAACAACCATCTTTCCCACAGATGAATCGCCAGACGAATTCGAATGATCGAACTGGCTTTGTAGATCTTCTGCTACATTTGATTCTCTGCCATTGAGCAAAATTTTTAATTGCTATTGCTCTGATACCATGATAATTTGCAAAGAACTAAAATGGATGAAATGAAAGGCAGGAGAAGATTCAATTGATTAAACAAATTCAATTTACAAAATGATACCAGCAATGGCCTACTTATACACAAGATGAAGAAGAAGCTCACGCCTAAAGGATGAAGAGGGAAAGACATAATGACATAAATAACCTTCATCTAAATGGGCTAATCTAAAATGGGCTTGGCAAGACTATAATGGACTTAACAATATCTAATAGGTGGGCTAAGGTAGAGTTACCATTAACTGCAGTGAGTTATCATGAACAATCAACTTCTCCTGTATGCTATCCACTGAGCGACCATTAGATAAAAAGTTCTGTCATGACTCAATTTATAAAAGACAGAACGTCAAACTGTTTCAGTTTTTTCTTCTCTTTTTTATGCATGCTACTACTCTTACCCGGACATTTTCATATCAGAGGCATATCCTAATGATAAAAATATCCATTAGGCAAGTATTCACAAAGAACTCTTTTAGTAATTATTCCTACAACCTAGAGTAGAAATACAATCATCTCGAATGCAAAGCCTTAAGAAGTGTAGCAGTCGTCATATGTAAGCCCTTTCCAGAACATATAAATACTATTCTTAACATGTAAAATATAGTGAATTTAAGTACTCACTGTTCAGTGTTATTTCTTTTGTGCCCTTGTTAACTTGCATGATGTCACTCTGAACACATTCCAAAATCATCCCAAACCTGCTTAACGAAGTTTCCACCATTCCAATTCTGTGCTCAATCTCTTCATTGGTTTGGCCTGCTTGTGCAAAATCCACTTGAAGCTTAGTTCAATGACTTTCATTTCCAAATATACTAATTCATTTAGTACAAACGAAAATTCTACACAATGGATAACCCTAGGGTATTTTATAGTTTCAACTCTGAACTTTTTAAGGAATTTAATAATTCAGGCTAAAAGTCGCAAACAAGTTGATATTAGCTATTGAGAATCTCTAAAAATAGTAAACATACATTTGTACTCTGGTACGGACCACTTGCGCATTAAATTGCTGGAAGATCTTGATATCTGGAGGTAAAATATAATTCCTCTTCACTGAATTCTCTCTTTCTTGTGATACTAATCTCTATTTTTGAAAATAAACACGGGTAAGCTAGACTGCAGGAGATGAACCAAGAAAGAAGAGTCAAATATGGTGTGTTGTTTTCTTTCTCTTAGTCTCTCTTTATTACGAAGTTAAAGAACATGTGTTGAGTTGGAAGAACATTAACTGCTCGTGATGTGTATTCAATTGGAAGAACATTAAATTTCCACGAGTGACATCGTCAACAATATAAATTCAAAATATTTTTCTCCCATGTGGTCCTAACTGGAGAGAGAAGAAATTCTGCCTAAAAGTTAAAATGCGACTGTAATTTCAGAATTCTTTTAGTCCTCTAGACAGTTAGTGCAGGTACACCATATTTCACCTTATAAATAAGCACCAATACAAAAGCATTCAACTTTTGGCATACGAAAGCAGAAATGAAAAGATGAGGCAATCCGATGAACACAGAACTTGATAAATCTCTTTATGTTCCCTTCACAATAATGATTCCAGAAAATTGCATTAAAAAACATTTAGAACACAAATAAATGAAAACTACTTTGTGTATTCAAATCTACATCCTTTTTTAAGTATATCATTTCACATTTATACAGGGAATTATCATCAGGAACAATAACAAACACTTTCATCTTTAATTGACAAAAATAAACTAGAAAATTTGATATCCTTCAACTGTTGGGAGCAAACAAGAAGTCCTACATCGGTTGTGAGAAGAAAAGAAATTCACCATATAACTCAAGTGGGCTACTCCACCCATGACCAATTGGTTTTGGATTGGAACCTCACTTGGGCTTGGTGGTGTGGGCTTGGGCTCTGTCAATTTGCTCATTATTTTCCCTACAACTGGTATCAGAGCCTAGGATCGGAGGAACGTAGTAAAAAGCGTGGTGGCGATCGGGCTAAAAATCATTCACGTTTGAGGTGCCTTGTGTCAAAAGTCTTCCTGACATTGGTGGTCAGGCGGCAGGTCCCGTTTGATCGAGGGCGACGGTAATAACGACGGTACAAGATGATTGGCGAATGGATTATCGTTTGAGGGGATACCACAATGATGTGGTCTTTCATTTGAGGGGAGGATTGTTGGGAGCAAACAAGAAGTCCCACATTGGTTGGGAGAAGAAAAGAAATCCACCATATAATTCAAGTGGGCTACTCCACCCATTTGCCAATTGATTTTGGGTTGGAACCTCACTTGGGCTTGGTGGTGTGGGCTTGGGCCCTGTCAATTTGCTCATTATTTTCCCTACAACAACTATCTCATTAAATTTTTAGATCCAAGTATCTCCGAATTTTTAGTAACTTATGTTTGAATGTTTGTAGGTTGTATATAAACTCGACATATACCAGTTCATTTGTTAGGGCCTCCTCTTGAGAATTTTGCGAGAACGAAGAGAATAATCCATGCTGAGATGAAACTCCCCGCGAAAATGACTGCTGTGATTGTTGTAGTTGCTGCTGCGATCTCAGCTGCATTGGGGCTTGGCTTTTCCCAAAAATGGATGAAGACTTTGAACCACTTGGCCCTGCATTTGATCTCCTTTTCAATTCATTAAAACGCCAAAAAAATTAGAAAAATCATTCTATATCAAAATTAAATCGACAATCTTACACGCACAGACTCGAAAATGTAAAAGCACGTATGTTTACTATTATGCTCATATATATCAATATATTCATATTTATAGTTAATAAGTTCATAAGTTTCGATTGATTCTGTAGTATAATAGTGTATTATTCTGTTTTGGATAATTTTGCGTAATTTAATTGGACAGAATTGTTTTAAACTCGAATTACTTATACGCAATGTAAATTAGTGGTGATTTATTGTTATGGTTGGAGCTCAACCGTAACCAAAATTTACAGAATTAAACCAACAACACCAGTAATTAAAGGCAATCAGTTGGAATTTAATAATCCAAGCTATAATCTCTATTAATTGAATGGAAATTACAGTTAACAGTAAGAAATAAGAAGGAAATAAGAAGAAGTAAGAACGAGAGAAGGTAGAGAGAGATTTGAGAGGGAAATCGTACTGAAAAATAACAACCCACATCCCACCTCTTCCTTCATCTTGTTATAACAGCAAGAACAGAGAAAATCTTGTTTTTCCAATTTGTAAAGTGTAAAACGTGCTCATCTTATAATTAGAATCCTCAAGCTCAAAACGACATCGTTCCAATTAGATCAAAAACGGCGTCGTCTTGCCTTTCAATTGAAATTGGCGATAATGACTCTTCTTCTTGGTAGTAACCTGGTTCCTTCTTCCTGATACTCCTCCTGCCTTTGATACCCCATTTCAGCTGGTTTTCCCTTCCATCATAACATCCCTCCCCCTTAGCTTCAACTTGTCCCCAAGGTTGAAAGGATGGGAAAGACGCCTATATGTATCCTGCATTCTCCCAGGTGGCCTCATCAGAATTGTAGCCTTTCCACTGAATTAGCCACTGTCTTACAGCTATCCCTTTCTGATTAACCATTTGTGCAGATAATACCCATAGAGGCTGGGTTTGCACCTTATGATTCTGATCCTGATGTGGAAGTGCTCGAATAGGTCTATCTTTCTCCCTAATCTTCTTCTTGAGTAGTGATACATGAAAAACTGGGTGTATCTGAGCAGTAGCAGGGAGTTGTATCTTGTAAGCGACTGATCTAATTTTCTGAATTATTTGATAAGGCCCATATACCTTGCAGTAAGTTTGTGGTTAGTTCTTCGAACCACTGCCTATTGAGCATATGGGTGTAATTTCAAATAAACCCAATCTCCCACTTGGAATTCTCGTTCACTCATGTTTTTATCTGCATAATGTTTCATTCGAGCTCTAGCTTGAGCTAAATTTTCTTTTAGTAACTGATCCATTCTGTGTCTTTCTTCGAACACCTCTTCCACTGCTGCTATGTTACTCTGCTGGTATGGACCCAGAGCTAAATGGGGAGGTTTAAGGCCATATAATACTTAAAATGGCGTCATTTTAATTGCTGTGTGAAGTGTGGTATTATACCACCACTCTGCCAAGCTGATCCATTTTCCCCATTGCTTGGATTGTTTGTAAACCATGCATCTAAGGTACATTTCTAAGCATTGGTTTAGTCTCTCCGTTTGCCCATCGGTTTGGGGGCGGTATGCTGTGCTTAACTATAGTTTGACCCCCAAGTATTTGAATAATTCTTGCCAAAATATACTGGTAAATATCTTGTCTCTGTCAGTTACAATACACTGTAGCATACCGTACAACTTGTAGATGTGGTGTAGGAATAGTTGGGCAATAGATGAGGCTGTAAATGGATGGGCTAGGGTCAGGAGGTGTGCATACTTTGTAAATCTGTCCACTACCACCAAGATCACATTTTTAGCATTGGATGTGGGTAGGCCTCCGATGAAATCCATGGAGATATGACTCTATCCATACTATGGCTCAGGCGGTGTCTGTAAAAGACCTGGATAACCCACATGTTCACTCTTACACCTCTGGCAAGTATCACACTCCAATACCTCTCGTTTGATCTCCTTACTCATCCCTGGCCAAAAGAAATATTGCTTTACCCTGTGGATGCTAGCTTGAACCCCTGAATGTCCCCCTTCTTGGGAAGCATGAATGGCGGCAATCAGTTTCTTCTTTACCCCTCCACCAGTTCCAATATAAATTCTAGGCTTGTATTTGAGCAGACCATTCACGTATTGATAATCTGGAACAGTCTGACCCTCTAGAAAGAGGGTGCTAATTTTATTTGAGGAGATTTCATCCCCTGCATAGCTGGCAATTACCTCTTCTATCCATTGGGGGGTCATAGCAGTGATGGCGAGGCACTCTGTTTCTCTTCTTGATAAGGCATCAGCCACTTTATTGTCAAGTCCCTTCTTGTATTGAATCTAGTAACGAAGTCCCAATAGCTTAGATAACCATTTTTGTTGTAGTGGGGTAGTGATCCTTTGCTCCAAAAGGTACTCAAGTGACTGATGATCAGTCTTAACAATGAAATAGTGCCCTTCCAAGTAATGCCTCCACTTCCCAACAGCCGTTACCAATGCTAGTAGTTCCTTCTCATAGATAGATAGACCTAGGTTCCTGTTACAAATGCCCTTACTCATGTAGTCTATAGGCTTTTTGTTTTGCATCAAAACCGCTCCCAATCCTCTATAACATGCATCAGTCTCTATAATAAATGGTATAGAGAAATCAAGTAAGGCCAAAACTGGTGTGGTGCTCATGGTTTTTTTCAACTTCTGAAATGCCCCCTCCGCGTTTTCATCCCAGTGGAAGTTATCTTTTTTGAGTAGATCAGTTAGAGGCCTGGTAATAATCCCATAATCCCTTACAATCTTCCTGTAATACCTGGTCAAGCTAAGGAATCCTCTTAGTTGTTTGATATTGACTGGCGTGGGCCAACTTTGCATTGCAGTGATTTTAGAAGGGTCAGCTGACACCCCATCTGTAGAAATAATGTGGCCTAGGTACTCTATCTGAGATTGCCCAAAAGAGCACTTACTTTGCTTAGCATATAGTTGATGTTGCTTGAGAATTCCCAGTACGATAGTAACATGCTCACAATGCGATGCTAAGTTTGAGCTGCACACTAATATATTGTCAAAAAATACTAGGATGAACTTCCTGAGGTGTTGCTTGAACAACTCATTCATCAGGCATTGGAAAGTGGCTGGAGCGTTTGTCAATCCAAAGGGCATCACTCTGAATTCGTATAGACCTTTATGAGTCTTAAAGGCTGTTTTGTGGATATCGTCAGTGGCCACTCTAATCTGATGATAGCCAGCCCTCAAGTCAATCTTTGTAAACCATTTGGCTCCCTTCAATTCATCCAACAATTCATCTATCAACGGCATAGGGTACTTATCTTTAATTGTGAGATTGTTAAGTTGCCTATAATCCACACAAAATCGCCAAGTACCGTCCTTCTTTTTGACCAGCAACACAGGAGAAACATAGGGGCTGTTGCTTGGTTATATGATGCCATTCTCCTTCATTTCCTTAACCATTTTTTCTATTTCCGTTTTTTGTATGTAGGGGCATCGGTATGGCCTCATCTTGAATGGTTGTGCCCCTTCTTTTAAGGGTATGTGGTGATCATTGAATCTAGGTGGGGGTAACCCTTTTGGCTCTGCAAACACCATAGGGAATTGCTTTACTACCACATCTAGTTCTACTGGAATGGACCCTTTCTCCCCTTCAGTAATGGAAGCAATCTGAGCCATGATTCCATAGTTTTGCATCTTGCTCCATCCCTTTCCTTCATGGTCATTTAATACCTGAAATTCCTCCTTCATTGTCTCATCCTGAAGTTCCATCCTGATACCTTTATGACTGAGGGTAATGCTGCCTTTGATGAAATCGAACAACACTGGGCATTTAACTGAATCGGTCAGGTGGGGATGTACCATATCACTGCCTCCTAATTTGAGAACCCTCAACTGATATTGGAACTCCCAATCCTTCATTTTCCAAGTTAATGGGTTGTAGACGGCCTTGATAACTAACTTACCACCCCCTGCTACAATTACTAAGGTAGGGTTGGCTGCCTATAGGCTGCATCTAATGTTACCAGCTAGCTGCTCATCAATGAAGCTGTGAGTGCTTCCACTGTCTATTAGGATAGACACCCATTTTCCCTTAATCAGCCCAGGTATCCTGATGGTTTCACCTCTGTTGCTGCCCACGAAGGCACATAGTGAGATTTCCATCACTTCATCGTCTCCCTCTTTATCTATCTGTTCCTCTCCAACTCCAGATGGTTCCATTATACCTCTTCTTTCTCTTCCTCCACCAGAATGAAATTGAGCATCCTGTTTTTGCAAACGTTATCTCTTGTGTATTTTTCATCACACTTGTAGCATAACCCCATCTCCCATTTTGCCTGAAAATCAGAAGGTGAGATGGTCTTGAATTTAAGGGGATTGGTAGGAATTTTTGGGTCAGTGTATGGTGTGGATTTAGGAGTAGGTTCATTTAGTTTAGTGATAAGATTGGTCCATCTTTGGGTTGGGTAAGGTTTGAAGGTTTTAGAGTTTCTGTTGAGGGCTGTGATGGTGTTCTCTTGTAAAATGGCTATTTCAAAGGCCTTGGCTAGTGTTTGGGGTTGGATAATTTTAACCATCGACTTGATTTCATCTTTCAAGCCGCTAGTAAAAATAGAAATGTAGTACGACTCTGGTAAATGTGGTAAGGATATCATCACCTGATATTTCAATTCCTTGAACTGCTCTTGGTATTCCATAATAGATCCTTTTTGCCTTAGCTTGCTGAAGACCTCAATCGCTTCCACCACTGTATTTTCAGCAAACCTCCTACAGATTTTCCTCGAAAACATGTCCCAGTCTGCATGGGGATAGCTGGATATGAATCCATGGAACCATATGTCAGCCTTCCCTTTGAGGTACATTTCAGCAATTGCTACCTTCATCTCTTCTTCTATCTGATGAATCTGGAAGTATTTTACGCTTTCCTCAACCATTCCCTGGGTCCATCTCCTCCAAAATAAGGAAAATCTATCTTGGGTACCCATGAGGGCATTCTAATCTCCCTATTTCCACTAGGATTCCCTGAGTGGTATTCACTTCCTTGGCCAATATCCCCACTGAATTGAAGTGGCACAGTACTTCCATCAATCCTTTTCCCATTACGGTCAGTTCTACTCCCATTCATCTGGGCCAACATTGCTACAATTGATTCATACTTCTGGTTCATCCCCCCATTATTACTTCCATACGGTCATGCTTATTACACAAAGCCTTCAATGTTTAATATGAGTTCTCTGCCTTATCACTCATTTCTTGAAGAGTTTCACTCAAACCTTCAACTTCCCTATCTAATTTTTTCAAGTGTTCCTCTACGATCTTAGCTCGAGTATCCATGCCCAGACCACGTAGCCTCTCTAATACCAAATATTATGGTTGAAGCTCAACCCTAACCAAAATTTACAGAATTAAACCAACAATACCAGTAATTGAAGGCAATCAGCTGGAATTTAATAATCGAAGCTGTAATCTCTATTAATTGAATGGAAATTATAGTTAACAGTAAGAAATAAGAAGGAAATAAGAAGAAGAAGAAGTAAGAGAAAAGGTAAGAATGAGAGAAGGTAGAGAGAGATTTGAGAGGTAAATCGTACTGAAAAATAACAACCTGCTTCCCACCTCTTCCTTCATCTTCTTATAACAGCAAGAACAGGGAAAATCGTGTTTTTCCAATTTGTAAAGTGTAAAACGTGTTCATCTTATAATTAGAATCCTCAAGCTCAAAACGACATTGTTTCAATTAGATCCAAAATGGCATCGTCTTGCCCTTGAATTGAAATTGGCAGTAATGACTCTTCTTCTTGGCAGTAACCTGGTTCATTTTTCCTGATACTCCTCTTGCCTTTGATACCCCATTTCACCTGGTTTCCCCTTCCATCATAACATTTATATATATAGTCGAACCTAGAGTGAGGAGGAAGAACTGAGATAGAACTGAGATCGTAGGCTTTGTTGATCTTCAGCTTCATGTGTGGATTGGAAAATCAATGGAGAAAATTTTAGCTGCTTGAACGAGACTGTGGATGTGCGAGATTGATTGGAGGTAAAAAAAAAATTTATATCAAATAAAAATTCACAAAATCGATAACTATTTAGTTTTCTGTGAATTTTGTTCGGATTTCAGTGATTTTGGAGGGTTTGGTTTTGTAATACCCAGACCAAGAAAGTTTAAAAGATTTGATAGGTACTACTCATACCAACAAAGTGCACCTTCTTTTCCGGAAGTCTATCGTTAGAAACTCTACAGTTAAGCGTGCTTGGCTTGGAGCAATTCTATGATGGGTGACCCCCTGAGAAGTTTTCTTGGGGAGCGTGCGAGTGAGGACAAAGCATGCTGAAAAAGACCCATGTTGGTACAGTGGGGACA